GAGAGAGAGAGAGAGAGAGAGAGTACGCGTATAATTAATTTTAAAGGGGGCTGCACTGTCCCATTGTAAAGAGGCAATAGTATTTAAATGGTTTTAAAATGTACCGTTTTACCATAGTCACAAAGACAGTCGAAAATGTTGGGTTTTTACCTTATCATAAATATAATCAAACCTGCTCTAACGCCACCTGTATAAAACAAGGAAGTTGTTAGGGACAGTCCCCTAGCGCTACCCACTCGGGGACTGTACAGTCTCCTAACAACTTCCATAAAACAATCACTTGTACAAACGGCCATGTCCTATTTCCTCTCTTGGAATTTACTTCGAGCAAGGGGAAGTCAAAGAGTAACACGGATATTTTTTGTTTGGTTGTTGATGTTGTTGTTTTGATAAGTGTTTTACGGCGCTCGCAAACTGCATATTATCATGGTCACATGAGCACACCTGACACATTAAATGTTATTTTTCGCCCTTCTCCGGGAAGACTAGGTGTTGGATCACACCTACCTAAGATCAGGAGTGTGGCTAAGAGACAGGATTAAGAAGAAGCCTTTTCTTTGTATTTTAATTTTTAGCAACACTTCTTATCCTACAGACCTTGTGTAATTTATTTGCTTTGCAAGTGCCATAAAACTCTAATAAAGAGACCCCCCGACCCCCCGAAAAAAAAAATTAAAAAATTAAGAAAACAGAAAAAACCTACTTCTAATTTAGAGTATCTGTTTCAGATTTTAGCCTCAGGCAGCAGGCAAACATTTCATTCTTAATCTTGGGGCATTTGCACTGAACAAAATGTAGTAAAATCAGGTTGTTGTTTTTTTAAAAGGGAGGTTAAATAAAAGCAAGCCAACCCAAACTAACAAACCCCAACAAACCCCCCCCCCAAAAAAAACCAAACAAACAATGGAAAGGACAGGATTTCTGTCTACGGTACTCACTTGAAGAAGTCGTCCTTGCAGTAGACCTTGTCTCCCTTGGAGAAGCATTTGTCCGAGAGCTGGGCCATGCAGTCGGCACACTTGAGACACTTGGAGTGCCAGGCTCTGTCCAACACCTTCAGGATGAACCGGTCGTAAATGTGCTCACCACAACCCGCGCATTTCGGGATGGCCGCTGAAGGAGAGAGAGAAAAAAAAATTAACAATTATTTATTATTGTAATAATCTATTTAAAAGAAAAACTTATTTACCATTGGTTACATTACTCCAATCGCTGGAACTCGCATGACCTATTTGTTTGGCAAGTACCGTAGAATTGTAACAAGAACTTTTACGTAAACTATAACTAAAACTATAAGTTTGAGTTTGGGTTAAGTGAAGAGAAGCACATAGACACAGTAATTTTCATTTAGTGCTTGAAAGAAGCCAAAACAGAGAGACAGAAACAGCACAGGGGCAGGAAAGAAGTACGACCTACTAGCGGCACTCTCCAACCACCAGCTAAAACTAACACTGACGCTAAAACTACAACTAAAACTGAAAAAAAATTAAACTAAGACTCAAACTCAAACTTTAATCTCTATTGTATACTCTAAACTCAAACTCACACTCTAAACATTAAACTCTAAACTCAAACTCTAAACTCTAAACTCTAAACTCTAAACTCTAAACTCTAAAGTACCGTTGATGTCACACACAATAAGGAACATTGTCAAGCTCAAACGACAGTAGAAAGTCCCTCCCGCCTCCCCCCCCCAAAAAAAAAAAAGAAAATCGCAATCCCTCTCCCCATTTTCCAGGCAGCCGCGGGGTCAGTAGGGGTCACGTTTAGTCCTGGCTCGCCACTTGACTGTGACAAGGTGTCTGGGACTGGGCCGATTGGGGTCAGAAGTCACCACGTGACCCAGGCTGGTACCCCGGGGGTTGGTGGTCAAACCCAATTTGGTGAGGACTTCATCGAGGTGCAAGAGTACTTGTTGTGTGTGGGAGTAAGAGGAGGGAGAGAGAGAGAGAGAGAGAGAGAGAGAGAGAGAGAG